GGCGCCGTCCTCTCTCCGATGCTCTACTCTTTGTACACCAACGACATCCCTAAATTCTCCGACTTAAAAGTCGAAATATCGCTGTTTGCCGATGACACGGCTCTCTTTACATCCGCCAAGTCCCGTGCGACAATAGCCAGACGGCTTCAGAAAGCCGTAACGATACTGGGCGAATGGTTCCGTCGGTGGCGCATAGAAGTCAATCCCGAAAAAAGTGCAGCAGTGTACTTTAGCAGGGAATTCGACTCTATGAATCACCCGATCGAACTATTCGGCCAAAACATCCCGTGGGTTTCGAAAACGAAATATCTCGGCGTCACCCTAGATAGGAAACTAACGTTTCGTCCTCACATCAAGCGTGTCCGCGACCGAGCCGCCTTTATACTAGGGCGACTCTATCCTTTTATTAACAAGCACAGTAAAATGTCGCTTCGCAACAAGCTGACATTATACAAGGCTTGCATCCGTCCCATCATGACCTACGCTAGTCCCGTATTCGCCCACATACCCTACTGCTTAATCAACAGACTACAGGTCATTCAGAATAGGTTTCTGCGTCGAGCCACCGGTGCGCCGTGGTTCGTTCGCAGCGTAGATCTCCACCGCGATCTTAATCTGCCCTCCATCAAGCAGTTTATGAAGGAAGCGTCTCGACGCTACTTCGACTCTGCCCAATCCCACCCTAATCCGCTTATAGTCAGTGCGGTCGACTACGCACCGAGGAGTAATATCCGACATACGCGACAACGTCGCCCGAGGCACGTTCTCATTGACCCCGACGACCCCATAACGGCAGGTAACCTCCCCACGGGCCCACCCGTTCCACCCCGACCACACTTTTACACACACACACGACACCGTCCTCGCCGGCGAAGACGACGACCTCAAACACACAATATCGCGCATTCAACCGGGCGCCTGCGCGCGCCCGGGCGCTCCACACCGGCGCCCCCGGGCGCCCATCCGATCGATCCCCCGTCCAATTCAAACAGGGATCGAAATTACGACGGCCTGAGCCGAGGTTCGAACCCCTAGTGGTGCCCTCAGACTAAAGTCGTATCCGTCGGGCAGGAGTTGGCCTTCAGCCGCTCCATAAGTCCTTCCGCGGGTTTGGAGTGCCATCTGCACTCGCCCCATAACGTCCGGTGAAGCTGTAAAGGCCAGCTACGGCCAACAGCATTAGAGTAGTCCGAAAAAAAAAAAAAAAAAAAAAAAAACGGGTATTACTCAGCGAGTATTCCACGCGGCTCGTCATCTTATGCTTCAAAAAACGTTTTAACGTTAAGGCGTCTTACAAGTTATTTAACTGCTCCTTTATTTTCATCTGTGAATGGATACAGATCAATTCAGCTAGTAATTTTGTTCTTTTAACTTATTCATTGTAGATAATATTTTGAGCTACATACATACATGAGTTTGAGAGTAAGGCTATTGATATGAAATTTGAACGCCCCTGTGAGTGGGTGTGATATTCTCTTTTATTTTCTATAATCTGTGGTACACGAAGGCAGGTAGACGACAGTAAGCTTATATATTCATTTAATAATCCTTAATCACTACATAGTATAAAACAAAGTGGCTGTCGCTGTCTGTCCGTCCCTATATGCTTAAATCTTTAATATAGTATAGTATAGTATAAATCAGTTGTTTTGTTGTACAGGAAAGTTATATAAAGTTGCAACAATAAAAATTTATGTGTATTGTATATTGCACTTTATAGCAATCCATGATAACTCATTTGTAAAAATCACATGTAAACATATTTATCGACGGAGTTATAATAAATAAAATCATAAACTTAGTATCTAAATATAAAATATCGCTATTTTTTATCAATCATATTTATTATACATATATTTTAACGTAGATAGGTTAACAATAAAAATGACTCTTGATAAACTGAATTAAATAAAACATCCGGTTTCTTTTGCCTAAAACGAAACCGGATGAATTAAATTAAAAATCTGTACTAATAAATAATTCTACATGCAATAAAGCGATTCGCTTATTAGATATAGAAATAATCTTTATTCAAATAAACTCATTACAAGTACTTTTGAATAGTCATATTTTGATTCTACCACTCATTCGGAATGCAGATTCATCACAAGAAGAATGAGCAAGAAACGTGTGTTGCTCTTTTTAATATTGAATAGATGTTTTTTTTATATAAATAATTACTGTATAACAAGTAAGAGGCATGCGATAATCAACATAGAAATCGCTACGCACTCATTATTAGTGTAATCAGATAATTTGTCAGTGCTATGGATTTAAAATTTTTCTATAAAAAACATAACATATTGTTTGGTTACAGGTACATCTGTATTTTTTCGAACTATTTCGTACTGTTGCTTGTAGATGTAGATTTACATATTCCTCGGTCGATATATATTTTTTTATATATCCCCCGAAATTGGGAGATGCTCGGAGGGTACTCTATACCCGCGGAAGGACTTGTGGAGTGGCTGAAGTCCAACTCTGAATAAAATGTACCTATTCTTCATTACATAGTATAAAACACGCTGTCGTGGTCTGTCCGTCCCTATGTACGCTTAAATCTTTAAAACTACGCAACGGATTTTGAAGCGGTTTTTTTAAAGTACATAGAGTGATTCAATAGGAAGATTTATATATATAATACGTGTCCACCGGGGCGAGTAGCTAGTTAATGAATAAAACAATTAAAAGTAGGTATAAAGAAATATTCGCAAATTGATTTTCAATTTGGATAGCGGTAGGTATATGTAGGTGTAGCTATCATATCATATATGTCACGCATATCTCGTTGGTATATAATACCCATAATGTTGGTGTGGGTGTCGGCGCATTGTACAACATTATCTACGAATACGAGCCACGTGTCGGGCCGAGCCTCCGGCGCGGAGTCGGCGCCGGCGCATGCTGCGTAGGTAGCTACTGTAAACTGTTGTTGTTTGCACACGTGTGCCATACACACATGCCTAAAATATGCAGCATAATTTTGCAATATTTTAAAATATTTGGGTAGCTCTCGCATCCTACATTATGTGCTGAAATATATTCATAACATAATTTGCGATTTAATAACGATTACCTATTCGGTTTATACAGCTACCGGATTGATAGGTAACCTACATAAGTGTTGATATCTATCACAATCTACTCTTAGACACTAAAAAGTTCTGTATAAAAAAATATATAATAAAATCTTTAATAGAAATTACAATCTAAATATGAAATATAAAACTATATGGTCAGTACGTCAGCAACAATAAGTATAGCTGAAAAATATTTTGAACATCATCAGTTTATAGATAAACCTAAATGGTGATATGTACAACCTCAGATATGGCCTAAACACAGAAGTGTAGCGTGCCTTGGCGGAGCCCCGTATAAAAATTTGTTTGGGGGCCCTTACGAAGGGTAAAAAAATCGTGAAAGTGTGTGATGCGAACGTTTTTTTTGTCTTACCTATTGCGAGGCCCTTTATCAATTAATTAAATCATTTTTGCTTACGCACGTTCGGGGCCCCGTATAATTGATACTACGCTCCTGACGACACAGCACAGCATATCAGCACTGCGACTGTAAGGTGTCACATGATACGTCGAGTGCGGGTCATGTTGCCAACTAATATACATAGTAGGGGGGACGGGGATTGTTAGTAAGGGGGTCTAGTGTCCCCATTGCTAGCAATGTACCATGTTAGGTCGACCTCCACGCGGTGCCCCTGGAAACCATTGTGGTTAATTCCTGGTTATTTAATCACGATGGGCAAACTGACCTGACCTCATGCTCCGCCAGCGTAAACCGTTAGTGCAGGCGGGTGGACCATATCATTATTAACTATGATATACATATATACATAATGGTGTATGTTATTGGTTGACAATATATTTTTTTCTTTAGTTACCTAATTAAATAGATAATTGAGTATTAACATAAGGTCCGGTACGATGGTGTAGGTGCCTACGTTATTAATATTATCTCATATTATCTCTACCTACTTTAATATGTCGTTGTTGTTATTCTTATGATACTCATTACATTTCTGTTTATTATGCGATGCAGGTAGATTTGTAATACAGAATCATTAGCATCCTCTGCATGCTAATGATTCTGATTTGATTTGATTCTGTAATGAAATCATTTCAATCGCTCTTCATATTAATATATGTAAGTACGTAGATATACTACGTATCACGGACGGGACATGCTGAAAGTATAGCAGTAATTATAGCAGTATTCGAAATGCAATATCCTATTTCTATTTAAATTCTTCTTTTAGAAATTATTTACATGAAATACTTTTTTATGTAATATGTTACTTTGGTATAAAATAATACATCACACTAAAGTATTTTATTATAAAAACAATAGTTATAATCACGACTTAGGCTCTGATGTCGGCTACATGGATCAGGGAGGGAAACCCCAAGTGGCGCCCGTGACTTGTGACACGGGTGTAGGTTTCTTTTTAGGTTTAAAGGACCCTTTTAGATTGCATTAACATCTTCACTACTTGTGGTATCCTCCCAGTCCCAACTAATAAACCCCCCAATGCCTACAATATTCACAATTACATTTCTCTTAATTGTTTTTATAATAATATAAACACTGTAACATTTTCGCTCCAAACTCCCGCTGCCTCAGTTCAATCCATCCGTCAATCTACTTGTCAATGTCATAACGATTATTTGGGCTCTGGCCTCTGCCGTTTCGTTTCAGGTTAGTCTGAATGCCTTAGATAAAGAAGCATGATTATTGAATTTACCATTTTTAATTAATGGTGCCTCACACGATAGTTAACATTTATATGCATAGTATAGAGAAGTTGTGCTGACGTAGACATCTATGTGAAATAATATTTTTGAGTTGTACCTACTTAAATATATAAATAACTGTTACTTGACACAGGAACATGCTGGAGTATTGGATTAACGCTTTATGTGAAATGTCGAGGCGGTCGCCTGATGTCGTTACTGTTGTGTAGTAACTGTTCGATTGCCGCGTTGCAGATGACGCAGGTGAGGCGGGAGTGGCGGCGTGGGTGCGGCGCTGGTGGCGCGCGCTGCTGGCCGAGCTGCTCGCGACCATGCTGCTCGTCTTCCTCGGGGTCGCCTCCGTCATACCGGTGAAGCCAGACCAGGACATCCCGCTCACCAACCCCGCGCTGGCGTTCGGACTGGTCATCATCATGAACATTCAGGTGGGGAATAAAGATTGGTATCATTTCGAATCGAATTCATTTCTATCCTTGCGGATATTCGTACCTATTCAATGCTTTTAGTCAGGGGCGGATCGTGTATTTGTGGGGCCCTGGACTAAATCTACTTAGTAATATAATTAGGTAGGCCCACCTAATTATATTACTCAACTAAAAATATACACAGACCAAAAACAAGCGACCAGAAATTTCCCGTTCCTTTCGATAGTACTTGCATGAGTTGATTGATCTCAGGGTTGCCAACCTTATGGTAGGTTTTTTAACATTCTAGATATTATTTTATATTCAAAATATCGTTTCAGTGGGTACTGGGGGCCCTTTATATCCTCGGGGCCCTGGACTGCAGCCCAAAAAGCCCTTAGGTAGATCCGCACCTTCTTTTAGTGCTATGTTTTGGTAGATATGAAATATAATAATTACCACGGCGTCATTTAGTCCCAAGTTAAGCAGAACTCGTGTTATGGGTAGGTACTAGACGATCGATATAAACGCTCAGTGATTTTTTTACTAATACATCCATAATTTAAATTTTGTATATAAAAAACACCCAGACCTGTACAAACAACCGTATTCACGTAAAGAAATATTTAGCGGCTATGTTGGGGTCGAAGACAGTTTTGTAGACAGCGACTACAGGTTCACCGACCTATAGGGGCCGAGTGCAGATGGCACTCCAAACCAAAGGAAGGACTTATGGAGCGGCTGAAGGCCAACTCCCGCCTGTATACGACTTTAGTCTGAGGCCTGAGGACTTCGGCTCAGGCCGTCGTAATATCGATCCCCGTTTAAATTGGACGGGGGATCGATCGGAGTGGTAGGGTGTGTGTGTATGTGTGTGTGTGTGTGTGTGTGTGTGTGTGTGTGTGTGTGTGTGTGTGTGTGTGTGTGCCGTGTATTGAGTATTGAGTGGTGGTGTCCGCAGGCGTTCGGCGCAACGTCGGGTGCGCACATGAACCCGGCGGTGACGGTGGCGGCGGTGGCGGCGGGGCGGCTGCGCGCGGCGGCGGCGGCGGGGTACGTGCTGGCGCAGGTGGCGGGCGCGCTGCTCGGGTTCGGTGCTCTGGTGGCGCTGCTGCCGGCGCACGCGCTGCGGAACAACGCGGGCTGCACGTGGCCCGCGCACGTGTCGCCGGCCGCCGCGCTCTGCGTGGAGGCCGCCATGACGGGGCTGCTGGCGCTGCTCTGCTGCGGGCTGTGGACGCAGCACGACCCCGCGCGCCCCGACCACACCGCGCCGCTCAAGTTCGGACTCGGCGTCGCCGGACTCGTCTACGCCGGGGTGAGCGTCTACCGCCCCACACGTACCGTCTCCGGACACGACTCCACAGTTTATAAGCTATTTCAGCCGCCGAAAAGTACGAGGCCGTTCGGCGACTAAAATAGTTTATAAACGTAGATGTGCTTCATTTGAAGAGTGAAGTGGCAACGCAATGTCAACGCCACTCCGACAGCCTCGATCATTACAATTAAGTATCTTTATAAAAGAAATTCTCTACGTATCCTCCGCGTGTTACTATTAGCGTAGCAAAATTACGATTTGGCACCACTCTCTTTCATGCTTCTTTTAATACATCGGTGCAGAAGACAAAAAACTATATATAATTCTATGACGAGATTTTATTATAGTTAATATTGATTTGATGTATAGTAACATAGATGTAATGGGACAATTTGTAACCTACTGCAGATCATTCAAGAAAAAATTAATTACTGCGTCACACAATTTTACGGTCGAAAAAATAAACAACAAAAATTATCTTATTGTATTAAATTTAATTAATTTAATTAAAAATTATCTCTGGTATTGTTAGCCGTAGTCATTTTCAGTCTCTACACCGAGCTATATTCAATTTGAATTAAATACAGGCAATAATAAATTTCAACTATATCTCATTTGTTCAATTTTGTAAGGAAAAAAATGAACACACCTATGTATAGGGGTGTGTATATGTACTCATCATGTATATATATACTAACCATAACTCCCTTTTGCTTTGCCGTAGGTGGGTAAAAAGGCGGATTAAATTTCATCATCTCGATAGAATACTTTTGTTTTTAACTAATTTGATTTGTCGATTAAAAAATATATAAAAAAGGGGAGGTATATCTTGGCAGTCGAGTCCAAAGGGCCCATTTAAGTATTACGTAAGCAGATATTACATTTACCGCCACATCCCCTTTGTCCTCTTACCCCCCCCCCCCCCCCCGCCTCCCCGCCCTCCCCCCAAAACAAACAAAAAGTAAACAACTTCCGATGACGTAATCATCATCTACACTCTTCCACCCCCGTACTTGAACGACCGAGCATGCGATTCTGAAGTAGCTTCTTTTCCCTCCGTCTCTAAAATACATCTCATTACTTGTAATCGAATACCTTTACGAACTTGTTATAGGGCGAGATGACCGGGACCAGCCTAAATCCGGCCAGGAGCTTGGCACCGGCCATATTCCACAACTTCTGGGAGCATCATTGGGTTAGTGATTTACTATATATATTTACAATCTACCGTATAGTAATTTTAAGTAGCTATGACGTGGAATGAGTAGTCATGCTCACTAAAATGTCCAGACATGTGGCGGCGTGGTGGGCCGAATCATTGGGCGTCCTAAAATACGGTCGTACGCAGTGATGGCTGTTTCATCCGTCATACTCGTGAACGAGTGCTGCTTGTAGGGACTGGTCTGCTCTTATCACTACGACTGATTTAATCTTATTGTATATTTATATTTGATCCTATAAAATTAGTGCTAGTTGGTATTTGAAAAATGTAAACTTACTACAAGGATTATTTAAAAGAGCAACACAAGTTTCTTGCACGTTCTTGTGATGTGACAGCTTGTAAACAGTTTTGTAGAGAGAGACTATATGTAGACCACTTCGGTGGTATAACCTGTATGGCACACACCCGCCGACGGCGCTCGACCTTTTTTTTTCAAACTATTCTAATGCTGTTTGCCGCAGTCGGCCTCTACGACTTCACCGAACGATAGGGGCCGAGTGCAGACGGCACTCCAAACCAAAGGTCGAAGGCTTCTCGCCTGACGGATACTTCAGTCTAGATACGGCTCGGGTCGTCGCAATTCTGAACCCTACTTGAATCGGAGGAGGGTTCGACCGAGCGCGGAGTGTGCGCGGGTGGTGTGAGCCGGTGCGTGGTGTGGTGTCGGCAGGTGTACTGGCTGGGTCCGCTGGGCGGGTCGGCGGCGGCGACGCTGCTGCACCGCCACGTGCTGTGCGCGGCGCGCGGCGTCGCTCGCGACGAGGCGCTGCCGCTCAGAGACAAGCCCGCCGCCTGACGCGGCCCGCACCCGCGGGACCTACCGCGGCCCGCACCCGGAGTCTCCCTCCTACCGGACCTACCGCGGCCCGCACCCGGAGTCTCCCTCCTACCGGACCTACCGCGGCCCGCACCCGGAGTCTCCCTCCTACCGGACCTACCGCGCGCGCGGAGCGGCCCGCACCCGGAGTCTCCGGACCTGCGCTCCGGACCTACCGTTTTTCGCGCGTAGTCGTTAGGATCTCAAAGATATTCTAAAGTTGCCATATGTAATATTATTGTCGAAATCTTTTGTTTTATAATATTAATGCTAAGTTAACGCGTCGAGTCGTTCGAAGCAGGGTATATGTAGCTAATGTTTAAACAGTAATTTTATATGTCCTTTATAATTGCAATGTATGATCATATACAGGGTATTACATTAGTATATGTTGTTACTGTGTGCTGTACACTGTCGTTAAATAGTTACGATTAATCAAGTACGCTATGTAGGCCTACAGAATATGAGCTAAGACTGAAATGTTCAAGTGTGAGGGAGTGCGATGTAACTGTTTACAAAATGAACTTTAAATCTAGTACTCAGTCGTTAATGTTGTTTCACTGAACCTAAGCGGGTACTGGACTGTGGTACCCGTGTGTGTGTCTGTGTATGTGTGCGCCTGTACGCTCCCGACTCCAATGTTTTAGTGCCGCCAATGTTCAGTTGTTCATTTTATCACTTTGTAAATATGATTAAATTAGTATTTTTGTTACAAATCGCATTTTATTTGATACTAGCTATTGCTGCGACTTCGTCCGCGTGGAATTCAATTTTATTTATCTAAAATAAAAGTAGCCTAAGTTACTCCTTATTACATCAGCTACCTGCCAAAAAAAGTCCCGTCAAAATCGGTCCAGCCATTTCAGAATTTAGCGGAAACAAACAGACAGACGAAAATTTAAAAAAATGTCTCTTTGGTGTATGTACCGCATTTACATTCATATGCTTGTAGTAAGGAACGGTCATTTCAATATTACAAGCAGACACTCCAATTTTACTTATATGTATACATGTATAGATTTACCAACAGTAACAGTACCGTCGGCAACGACCGGTAATAAAATAATAAAAGGCAAGAGACAGAACAATGTTTCATTTCCAGGACTGAAGATCAAATATGAAATTATATATTTTCTACTTTTCATACAATACTTTTATAATTATCATAACTACAATGGTTTATTCGTCACTTATGATTAAATTATTATAAATATTTTGAACTAGTATTCGTATTCAACACCGCAACACTCCGGTCCTTCCGATACGATGCATCTTATTCGTGTGCAGACAGTCCGTGCTCACGGATTTTCTAATCCGATCTACTGAACATCGTATCGAAATGAGAGAAAATAATTTTATCTTAACCTGTTAACCGGGTAATTCCTATTATAATTACGCAGCATACAACGGACGCTGTCTCACTAGGACGTGTCAGTCAGTACGTCAGCACAATATAATGTAATGTATATATTTTGATATGAAATATTCCACCCGCTCCAGGTTCCAGGGCGCAGCAGAAATTAAAAATATGTAGGTATACATATGTCTTACACGTACACAAAAGTTTGAATTTTGACGTTACGTCCCGCTCGGTTAACAGGTTAATGGAGCTCCGACTCCTTTGTTCGTCAGCTGAGGTCGGAAGAACGCAGACAAACGATGTTATGCACGCGTTGCGGTGTCAAGTATTCGCGTGCGTTCTCGTACATTATCGATCGTACCTGTCACAACCCGCACATTACTCAGCACAATCAGAAAGTGTCGCCGAATCATTGTCGAGACACTCGTCTCCTAAATAATACTTCTTACAATAAAAAACACAAATGGTCAGTTCATCGGCCGATTAGCTCCTCGAACGGACACTACTATCCTACGACTCTTACACACTATGCACTTCCTTCGCACGAGTCAGTCAAATATCGAACCGGGAAACCGACGCCGTCGAGTTTACCGCATACAGCGGTCGAGATCGCTCGGACCGTTCACCGTGACACTGTCATAGCGACGCGAATGAATCGCCACGTGTGAGACTCCGCCGCCGCCCGTCGCTCATAACCGCTTCAGGATGCGGCGTCGGTCTTTCGCCGGCCGCGCACTGCTCGTGCTCGTGCCCGTGCTTGCGCTTCCCGTGCTCGCGGCCGTGCTCGTGCCTGTGCTCGTGCCTGTGCTCGTGCTCGTGCTCGTGCTCGTGGTCGTGGTCGTGGCGGACGCGCCGGTGTCCCCGTCTTCGGCATCGATATCTCTGTGGCTGGGTTCTCCGACCGCGACGCCGCGCCGCTCGCGCTTGGCGCACGGGCCGCCCTCCGCAGCGACTTCGTCCTGCACACACAAAAGTAAATTAATTAAATTTGAGGCGACTGAGCTTAGGCGTCTGTGATCGTAGTAAATATCGTAACGGCATTTTTATCAATATTTTATCAAAACTATTAAATATGAGTAATTCAAATTTATACAATAATTAATTTTATCAAAACTTTTAAAAATTGAAAAATATAGCGGCGTACCTGTAACGAGCGCGCGCGGCGCGGCGGGGCGCGCGTGTATGTCCGCGAGCAGCTTGGCGCGCGCGAAGTAGTCGTCGTAGCGGTCGCGCAGCAGCGCCGCCGCCTCCGCGTTGAGCGCCGACTCGGCGTTGGGCGCGATCAGCAGGCAGCGCACCGCCACCAGCGCGTGCTCCAGGCCCAGCTCCGGCCGCCAGTCGCGCTTCAGCGTGTTCACGCACACCTCGCCCGTCGCCGGCGACACGTTCGGGTGGAAGATGCGCGTCACGAAGAACGCGCGCGGGGGGCTCGCAGGGAACCCCGCGCCCAGCGCCAGCCGCACCCGGAACACGCCCCCGCAGTACGGCGTGCCGGCTGCGCCGCACCGCACCCGACATTACATTACATCATATCCTAACATCACAACGGTGACAATACCCCTACATAAATAAACATGATCAACAAAATTTGAGTATTTTTTTAACGATTTTTTATACTTCTTTGAATAAACCAAAATTGACTAGTTTCATATTTCTAACAAAATAAGTAAATATAACAGAGTATATTAAATAATAGAATAATAAGCAATATATAAGATAAGCAAAATTTATATTTGCTTAATATCTGAGATTCATGAATATCTCAACACAAACACAGTAGCCGAAGAAATAAAACACCACTACTCCAAGTACAAGACACGGCTAGTAAACCATCCTATTGTGCTGGCCAACCGACTAATGGTCCCTGACAACATACATCACCTCAAAAGGTGTATGCTACTGGAACCCGATGATTAATCAGGACCACCAAAAGAGACAATGATTCTGCTGGGAATCATACTCTACCTGTGACATAACCTTTACCACATCTGTTCATAGTTTTCAAGTGATTGCAGAATAGACACAAAAAAAAATAAGATTGTACTCAGACTGACTGGCGTATATTCATTGAGGTCCACTCCATAATAAACTAAACTAATGCAGCACTCCTACCTACTGACAGACCTTTAAGACTTTTATTATTATATAAACTGGCTTTTAAAAACAAAGTAATACAATTGAGTTTCTTCTCAATTGAATCTATATACCAAACAGTAGGGAAAAAATTAAAATTATAATGTAAAAAATTTGATGTTAATAAGCGTCTAAAATGTCCTACATGAATAAATTATTTTTTAATTTGAATTTAGACACATGCAGCACTAACAGATGCAACAAACTCAAGTATGAATATAACTCAGCTGACATGTTTGAGAAGTTGTTTTATGTAGTACACCCATCCTGCATGTGAGTGTGTGTGTAGTTAATATAGGATACTGATAACACTATTGTCTACCCGCAAACAGATGTACCATCTTGGCAGACAATGGTATGAGTGTAAAATAAAGGCAGTTAGTCAGTTGCTAACAACACCTCCCCTCTAGTGATCGTGTCAGGTCGATCTACACTATATACACCGTGGAAACCACTGTAGTTAATTTCTGGAGTTATCTCTACTACAAATGAACCCAACTTCATCTACATCCTATCATCGTTCACTGACACCTTGCCATTGTATAGCTTATAGCATGTTGCACCATCGCATTGTCATTCGTTATAATAGTCCCCATTATTAGTTATTTCCCCTTCAGCATATGTCGTAACATGAAATTATAAAATATGCCTGCGCCAACATGGCTCACGATTTGACAATAGTTGTGGACTATGTTATTATATTTCTGTACCGAGTAATCGTAATGCAAGAAAGAAGCGTACAAGTTTCAACGTTCCTTATTAAATTAAATACAAAACGTTAAAAGGAGACTCATCCCCATAGCGTTGTGTTGAGATGTAACATCGGGCCTGCCTCGCGTACGTACGTACCGGGTCCGTCGATGTGCGCCACCACGTCGGTGAAGTCGTCGTCGCGCAGCACCAGCTTGACGCCGGCGGGCGGGTTGGCCGCCAGCCGCCGCAGCTCGCGCGACACGCCGCGCAGCACCTGCGGGCACACGTTCTCCACGTTCGACATCCTGCCGCCGCCGTACTGCCGCCCTGCTCTCGCCTCGATGCGATTCACAAACCAGTCACTTCCGACGATATTTTTCACTATCACGTCCTGAACCAGCCAGCCAGCCAGCGTTGACTTCCCGCATCTAGCAAACGGATATACCGACACGTTTGCGACTCGATTACTACCACTCTCTAGTTAAATGAGATATAAATTATACACAAAAGCGTCATAAATAAATTATTACTAAGGAAAAAAAATAGATTTTACAAATGCATGGAGTGTAACGACAAATTAATTTTATTTTTTTTATGTTTTACTATGTTTTGACATTGACGTTGGCATATTCATATTCATATCAATCATGACGTCCCATCAACAAACAATCCTTTGAGCAAGTAACCACAAAACTTTAAATAAAAAGTCATATAAAGGTGCCATAATTAAAATAACAACCTAGAAGTAAACTTTGTACAAATAGTCTGCATGGGTAGTTCTCTCTCTGTAGTTTCGTAGTCTTACTCATAGCTAAATTTTAAACAGTATTTCGCTTGATAGAAAAAATGTGACAATCAAATTATTTAGTAAGTCAATATACATAATATTAGCTCTCCGGAATAGCAACCCATTAAAAATTATTATTATTTATTATATATACATAACATAAACATATTTAAACTATTGACAAAGTCGCATTACGACTTTAAATAAATTTTACTTTCTTATTAATTCTCCTAAACTCCCTGCAACTAGACAATGGTGTTGCCGCCCGCTGTCAGTAGAATCACCATAAATTTGTGGGGTTGTAAACTGTAATACGTATATTCACAGAAGGCATTGTACACCTAATTGCCTTAGAATTTTCATATATATATATATATATATAATAAAGAGGAAAAAACTAAATTAATAGACGTTTACAATAGCTTTCATAGATGAATTGCGATTATTTACAATTTACGTTAGACTTTTTATGTGATATCTAAAAATTGTCTTTGATGAATGTGAATGAACGTTGTTCCATGCCGTAAATATAAAAAAAAATCTGTTAGACATTGATCAAGATTAGACATTATAGCACAGAGTACTTTATTATATGCAAGAAACTTTATAGACGGTTTCTATAGTTTCAAAAAATAAATTAATAATATCTTCTATGTAGAAAATAGTAGTTAAATAAGATATTAATTTCCAACTGTAATGTTAAAACTGGCTATTTAGTTAATCAGGTAACTAGTCTGCTTTTTATATGTATTTTTATTGTTTTAAATCACCTGTAAAACTAGACTATATGGTGTTTGATCATGAACATTAATTCATATGCAGTACAGTTTGTGTGTATTTGATGTTAATGCCTAAGGTATATATATATACCTACCAAAAATATATCTACCCATTTCTATATTGATATTATATAGTTTTATTTTTTGCACCTTGGTTTGCATTTATTTATATACAATATTTATTCATTACACACATACAACTCTTTTCTATTTAAAATTAGTATTGAATAAAAATATGATAAAAAAGGAGCTTTTATATCACATGTTCCTTTTTTTTGTTCCAGTTAAATGTCTAGGATAGGACTGGAGTCTAGTAGGACATTGGATTTGGTATCTGCAATGACTACAAACACAGAGAATCAAAATCAAACTCTACATGAAGGGAATAAAGAAATGCCGGTTGGTACTGAAATAAGCATGTACTGCAAATATTAAGTCATTTTAACTCATAACTATTTGTGAAAATAACTGTAATTATAAAAGACTTGTTTATTGTTATTTTATCAAGTCTTTTTTTATATGGACATGGATGGATTGTGTTAAAGATGTGCCTTTATCACAAGTAATATAAGTGATAAAGTCAATGCAGTGATGACATTATATATAAACATACATTATATTTATTTAATTTTTTTACAAGACAAGCTTTTATAGTAGTTTTTTTATTAGAAGTATTAAGTATATAACATTTTAAAAGTATTTAGATAATGATTAAGACGGCGCGGTTAATTTAATCGACTCATATAAAGGGAAGCGATTCTAGCTTCTCTACTTAATCGACGACATAGCATCCTCCTCGCAGTTCAATGTCTATATATATGTGTATAATATGACCGATAGACGGGAGCGGGTCCGCGGACCGTGGCTCGCACGCAAGTTTTAATATGGAATCGAATATGCGATAGAACGGGGCGCGGACGAGAAGAGACGGCGAGGGGTTCCGCATCGAGGTGGACCTGCGGCTGGTGTTCGGCGACGCGCGCGCGCGCGTGCTGGCCTGGGTGCGGCCGCGGCGCCGCGCGCGGGCGCTGCTGCGGCGGCTGCGGCGGCTGCGGCTGCCCGGGCCCGTCGCGCTGCTCGTCGCCGGCCGCCTGCTGCCGCTCGACGAGCCGCTCGCGCTCCTCGCCCCCGGGGACACCGTGCAGTACGCCTCCTCCTCACTGTTACGCCGCGACGACCTCGGCGGTCTAGCGGTTTAGCATCCCGTTTAACTTCGGACGGCCGCAGGTTCGATTCCTCGCGGGGTATCATTATTTGTATTCTTGAGTATGATCGTTTGTATCGATCTGGGTGTTTTCTATGTACAATATGTATGTATTTACGAAAAAAAATCTAATCGTTTCAGAGTGGTCCCCTTATCGAAGGAATTGCCGATAGACTATGAATATGAAGAAGAAAGTGATTTCGATGACACTGAATATACCAGTAGCTGTGTTACCAGTGAGAATAAACGTAAACGGCATTGCTATGATTCTAAAGGTTCTACATACCCGCCTGACACCGATATAAGAAATGATAAACAATATTCTGATAATGTCTATAATGAGAAATATTTAAGTAAAAAAAAATGCATTCGGAATGGAAACAAACATGAGAATTTTAGCAATTTAATTTATAATGAATTTATAAACAATGTATGTAACAGCAGCAATAAGAGAAAGAGACACCCTAATGAGGGTATTCATCGTGAGTCAGCTGCCACGCGCACGAGAGGTCAACAGCATAATAATGACGACCGTCGCAACTCTACTACCTCGGAGAAAGCGAATCATCGCCGGTTCGACGATCACGCTTCTGAAGATACCGACCGTACCGAGGGGAACGAGAGCTCAGAGTTAAATGATAACGTTATAAACAACAAAGAAACCGATAAATTATTTATCGAAGAGCCCACCCACGACGGTCGCGGAGGCGCGGTTCCGTCGTATGCGAGTGCGGCCACACTGGCCGAGGTGAAGCGGCGCGCGCTGCAACTGCTGGAGCGGTACGAGGACGGACGCCCGCCAGGCCGGGACCACGGCCGGAGACCGGGGCAGCGGTCTGAGGATGAGCGGCCGGTACAGCGGTCTGAGGATGAGCGGCCGGTACAGCGGTCTGCGGATGAGCGGCCGGTACAGCGGTCTGAGGATGAGCGGCCGGTACAGCGGTCTGAGGATGAGCGGCCGGTACAGCGGTCTGAGGATGAGCGGCCGGTACAGCGGTCTGAGGATGAGCGGCCGGTACAGCGGGCCGGGGAGGAGCGGTCTGAGGGCGGGAGGCCACGCACTCGCCGTCGCCGCGTACGCCGCCGCCGCCAGCAGCCCGTCCCCGGGGACGTCGCCCCCGGGACGCCGCCCCCGGGGGACAGCGCGGACGGCGCCGGGGACGCCGCCCCCGGGGACAGCGCGGACGGCGCCGGGGACGCCGCCCCCGGGGACAGCGCGGACGGCGCCGGGGACGCCGCCCCCGCTCCGGTCATACGCAACGCCTCTCAGCACACCCGCCCGCCGCGTGTTGTACGATCGCTTTCGCCGACCTCCCCATACGACCCTAAAGACATATACACAATAATATTCAATAATAGTAATAATAATTAAATTCACATTTAAGTTGACAATGTAAAATAGATTGTAATCATTAAATCACAGGAACATTAACCTCTCGTTTTATTATTAACTAGCGACCCGTCCCGGCTTCGCACGGGTACAATGCTGGTACTAAACCTAAATGCCGGTACCGCCACACCGCTATGTCCCTGTATTTTAAATACTTACTAATATTATAAATGCGAAAGTAACTCTGTCTGTCTGTCTCGCTTTCACGCCAAAACTACTGAACCGATTTAAATGAAATTTGGTACACAGATAGTCCCTGAGAAAGGACAAAAACATTATGTTTGAAGCTGCTAATTAAACTTTGAAGCCGACCAAAAGGGTTGTAAGGGGGTTGAAACGGTGGATGCAAGCAATTTTTTTTTTTTATGTAAAGTTGTGTTTACGTTTGTGGCGAATCTACGGACAGCGCGTGTCAACACCGTTGCCTGGCGACACAAGAGGGAGAAAAATAACAATCCTGTCATAGCGGACCGAATCACTTCTTTTTTTTTTATATAATTTCCATTTATATTATTATTATCATTCACTACTATAAATAATATAAGAATACACATATACTAGTCTCATTCTATCATCGCTTTTCCTGCTGCTGCCTATAGAAATAGAAATAGAAAATCATTTATTCAAATAAACTTACATTGAAGCACTTTTGAATAGTCATAACATTTTTTTTTAATCTACCGCTCATTCGGAATGCTGTCTCATCACAAGAAGAACAAGCAAGAAACTTGTGTGTTGCTCTTTTAAATAATTTATTCTTACTTACAATTTAAGTTTAAGTGTGTGAATACAAACCACCGATTAGCACTAATTCAATGAAATAATAAAATAGAAAAAAAACATTCAATATACAACAACTGGTTAAACAAGTAATAAGAGAAAATAAGTCATAGTGATTAGAGCAGACCAGTTCACGAGTATGACGGATGAGCCAGCCACCACTGCGCTCGACCATATTTTAGGGAGCCCAATGACCCGGCCCACCACGCCGCCACAAGTCTGGACATTTCAGTGAGCATGACTACTCAAAACACCAGACCACGTCATAGCTACTCACAATTGCCATCTGATGGTTATATTATTCACATTTCACATAAGAATGCATGCGGCAATCAATACAAAAACCGCTACGCTTTCATATTTCTAAAATAATTGAATCAAGAAAGCAATGAGATAAACAAATTATAACGTTGTATGCTAATAAACTAATTATTTACTTGATATGTTGTCGTCTATGAATTCGTCTATCCTGTAATAGGCTTTCTTACACAAAAATTGTTTAATATAAGATTTTATAATAAACTGCCAGAATCTGCACTAAATCTGACAGAGAGGCAATTCAAATCTTATATTAAACAATTTTTATTGCGTAAGTTTCTATTTGTACAGTCTTTAAGTTTTTTAAAACTCTCTAAATTCTTCCGTGTATACATGATATTCTCATAAATGTATTGTGAAGTAACGGTGAGGATATTTGAATCTTTAAAACACTGACGTAATGACTCTCTTGAACCCATACCATAAATAGAACGTATGGCTCTCTTTTGTAAAATAAATATAGTATTTATATCGGCTGCTTTACCCCACAGCAGTATACCATATGACATAATGCTATGGAAATAACTAAAGTATACAAGTTTAGCCGTCGCCACGTCTGTTAATTGCCTAATTCTTCTAATTGCATATACAGCAGAACTGAGTCTATGGGCCAATTTTGAAATATGGGGCCCCCATTGTAATTTCGAGTCCACTGTTATACCTAAAAAAACTGTATCATTAACAAAAAATTTACTATTTCATCATTAAGCAATAACTGTGTATTTATTGGTCTTACATTAGGAAGTGTAAATTTTATACACTTTGTTTTGCTGGAATTTAATAATAGGTTATTACATGTTGTTCGGGTTGTACCGAAACTATAAAGATTCTGATAGGTAAAACTGATAAATGATACTGATAGAAACTTGATTAAAACTGTATATTGAAACTTAAAATATAACTGATTAATGATTGTAATGAGTACGCGCGGCGTCCTTGATGACCGAATGCGAACTGATTTTAATGAAATGTGAAATGTAAAATAAAATGTTAATGTTGCGAAATAATGTACGATGCTAGCTCGTACATATTCCCGGGCGCGAAAGAAGATGTGAAGGGGGATGCTGTGGTTGTGACCTTAATTACTACTTACAAGATGATGTACAATTGTTTCTTTCAGATGCTAATGATTTTGTTAGTAAATCGAGTGATTTATCAAGATGATATAATACAATACAAAAGCTATGACATACGCCATCCCTAACGCGCGTGTGTAGACACGCGTTAGGGATGGCGTACACTGATCTTAGCACAGACGCTGTGCTTCTGTTTTGCTCTAAGACACGCGCACTTTCTCTCGTATTCACTGATATCACGGGTACTTCACTTATTTTCTACACAGACACACACACTAACACTAACACTAACACTGATCGTTGGCGGGGGAGCGCCCGACTCCACCGCCGCTGGCACCATAGGCGCCCGCTTGCAGCATCACCATCCAAGAACTGGAAATCCGGTCACTATCATAGCAACTGAAGCCATCCTAATTTAATTATTAAATTGAGGACGAAAATGTGGTGAAGTTGCTTTATTTTCCACGAACAATTTAGGACGTCCAAATGTCTTTTTGACAGTTTGATAGACTACACTGTCACATTCACTAACACTATCACTGTTTGCTGTTTCCATCGCACGGGGTTGGGGGCAGAGCTGGCCATGCCAACCGCCACAGTCGGCGATGCTGTGCTCGTCGAAGGGACCTTCCAATTGCGTAATCGACGCAATGTATAGATTACGCCGACTAACACCATCACGGCGATAATTATATAAATTAAAGTATAGTGATGTACGTCATGATAAGTTATGTGATCTGATAGTACGGGTTCGTTCTCTTTCATGAACTTAATTCTTTCTCCAATTTCTGTGAGTTGCTGACTTTCCGAATTCGATATGTCATTCCACTCGTCATGAGGAATAGATATGTTAATGATGTGGTTTATCGGTGCGACTGTGGGTGAGTATATATCTGGTGATAACTTTAATTTATTTGAATGCTGATAATGTGATGTAACAGTGAAATTATCGGTTTTGATGATGCATCCACTGTCTATAGTGCTCAATCCCTCATAAGTGAGCATATGTACGGTAACCTGATCCCCACACATTGTTCGTACTTGACACTGATTGCAACAATTATTAAGTTCACTGCTTTCTTCCCACATATTTTCGCATTTGCTAGTGAACGTTTTGCAAGTGGAATTTTCTGATTCACAAAATTCTTGATTTGTATTAATTTGATATATAGGTTTTTTTTTTTTTATGGCACTAATTTCGCGTTCTAAACTTATAATATGTTGATTTATCATTTTATGTTGCTGAGTCATAGTATTTTCTGTCCGCTTTAAGATGTACTCAGCCTCCATGATCGATGTTTGATTTTTCCAGATTGTCTCGTAGTAAAGTAATGTCCATCTCATACTTTTCGGCGAATCTTTGATCCAATACTCCGAATAGGAACTGGCGATGTAACCGACACCGTCGATAAGACCGCGGCGACGCCGCCTTGCGGATTGCACCTGACTTCTCCCAGGATTCAAAAATATGTGTTATTAGCGCTACACCTGCGTCAGTGGTAGACTTGCCGGCGGTGAAACCATATTGCTGACTGTGAAGCAGTCCGTTAACCCTGAAGTGTTGTAACATTTGATTTAACATTATCTTTTCAAACACCTTACTTAGAACTGGCAAAATAGATATAGGTCTATAACTACATCTTTTGTTGCTGTTATTATTTTATTACCACAATTTAATGCAAATTGATTATAGGCTAATTTAGATCTTCCAGTTTATTTATTTATAATGCCCCAGATGGTTTTAATTTTGTCAGAAGACTGGTTAATTTGTTTATTAATATATATTAGATTTAGCCATAATACAAACAATAATAACGATATATACTAAATAGATATATTTATTTATTTATTAAAGGAAAACCAAGGCTATTCAAGTACATCTCACACTAATAACAATAGACTAATTCTTAAAAAAAAAAAAAAAAAAAAAAATTACATCACTACGTATAAAGGCATTATAAAGTTAACAGAGAGAGAATATGAAATTAATTAACAAGAGTACAGTAACAAATAGTAAATTTATAGAAATATATACATATACATGATTTTCAATAGTAATTAATTGTTATTTAAAGAAGGGCTAACTTAGTTGGTGATTTAATATTAAATAAAAAAAAAAAAATATATATATATATATATATCTATATTGTTTTAGATAGTTTATTAAAAAAAAAAAAAATTGTTGCTAGCTCGCCAGAGAAATGAATTCTGCTTATAGTTCGATGACACTAGGGGAACAGATAGGAGAGGATTGTGCCTTGTTGATACTCGTGGTACATTAATGGACGTGGTACATTATATATGCATATAATAGATGAACACTGGATATATATAACAATCTACCCGCTAAACGTTGCAATGCCAGATGACAGCGTCAAATGGCGTCAATATAATCGCATTATTGACAGGTGACGTCATTTTTCACTACATTACATACGAAAATCGTTGAAACGAAGTTAGATAATTAGCCCACAGAAACCTTGAACTGTTCCTCGTTCCTGCCCGTAATATAATATACAAACTTTAAGGAATCTTATTATTCTTTCTATATTCGGTATCGGTATTCTTTCGCATCTTTAAGGTATCTCAGGACTAGAACAGCTGCAACTGTGGCAACCGGTTTACAGTCTTCAGAGGAAACAAACCTTCATTGCGATATTCTGATATTCTGACGTAATAGACGAATCCACCGCACGTGTTAGATGGCGCCAACCTAGCCTGCTTTTCGGCTGGAGAGGACCACAAAATCCGATCCTCCAAAGTTGCCGGTCCCAAGCCCGGATAAATAGCGAGGGTCTTTGTATACAGTATATGTATGTATATTATAAAATAACTTACAAGTAGTGTCATATTTA